CAGTATCTCCTTTCAGGTTTATATAATTTCAGTTTCAAAACTTTAAAAACATACACCCTTTAATTTAGATCTGAAAAATTTACCATTTACTAAATTGGGTTGTACAGACTTCTTACCAATTACTGCCACACAATTATTATAGCTGATTTTGGAAGGGTCTGGAATCTAGCATTAGCATTCCATAATCTAAACTCACCAGTTAGGACTAACAAAAAGAAATGCAAGCTGCAGTGGCCTTAGATTTCAAGTGATATTGAACAGTGCTTATGAACTCTCATCATTAGTATCAAATAATTTCCTTGCTTATAATTCCCATTAGATTGCTTCATGAGGCACTAACATTCTTGGCTAAGTATTTTAATGTTCTAAAGATAATATTCAGTGGTACAAAAATAGATAATGAGAGATTTTTAAAGAGGCATTTAATATAGGAATTCCTCCGAAGGTCCATAGAGCACTCAAGCAATAATTCCAGATAATAATAAATATAAATTCACAAAAATATATAGTAAATTTCAAGTGACAAGCATGCTAATTTTAGTTGGAATTTAAACCTTAATATTCAGGTGTCAAACTATAGCCATCAGTTACACCAATTACTGACAAATATATTACCATATATCATATGTATGTATGCTGATACTAGCTCATAAGCTGACTATAATATGCATAAATATAATCACAAACATTTGGACAAAGATTCTCAGCTTCTCACATCCAACAAAACCAAGTAATGTTAAATTTAGTATTAGTAATTTTTATTCTAGGGAGATCTATTTGCTCTATCATTTTATTTTCTATTTCTCAAGTGTGTTTATGCACGCACATGTGTTTAAATGTCCGTGCATTTGAGTCACTGTGTGGAAGCATGTATACATATCATATGACTATACATTCCATCGCATAGACTTTAACAGATGTATCTGTTCATGTGAATAAAAGTCTTGGCTCAGATTTGATCACTGTTGGAGGATTCATTTATGTCTTTTCTCAGCAATGTCAACAGTCAAAGCAAATAGGAGTCTACGGGCTTTTCCTTATTTCCATGATGTTTTCCCACCTCTGTTCTTCCGTCAGGTCTCTTCATGGCACAGTATTTTCTCAAAACACAGTTTCCTACATAGCGGCTTATAGAGACACCTAGTGGTACAAAGTCACGGGGGCTTCTCAGGCCATCTAATCATGAGTTAATGGTCAAAGTTTTCATCATTTATTCATTTGAACTACAAAATGACAACCTAAATTAAGTGCAAACATGCTTAATACTTCTTAGTTTAATAAAGTTTATTTTAATTTAGAAAATAAATATCTAACAAAATAACACAAATCTAAATTAAGCACTTGCTATTAACTATAATTATAAAGGTTTGGGAAAGCAATAGATTAATGAAGTAAAATAGCTATATTTAAGCTATTTTGAGAAGCCCAACAATTAAGTCACTTTATACTCGTTCAGAACTTCTGTAGAGTTTAATTTAACAACATTGAAAATTATACTACTGATAGGACTCAATATTTATAGATCAACAGTTTCTAGCTGTAATTAATAATTTCTAAATTATGAAACTTTAACACTTTCATTTCTAAAATATAAAAGTTACTTGATGCTTTAAAAAAACATATTTTCTAAAATGTTTATCTCATGTTAGGAGAAAATGACGAAGTAAAAAATACAATAACAAGCCTTTTGTACATAAAGTTTCAAGTTAGGTCTTTTTACACAAATTACCTGTAGCCAGTGGCTATTATTCGTAGATCAACTGTTTCTAAGTTTAACAGGATATCTTATTATAAGATTTTATTTTTATTATCTGCATTACAGATAATTTCTTTTCTTCCTCTCCCTTGTCCGTGCTTTAAACTTAAACAAAATTAGTTCCAAATAAAGTATTTATGACTTAACTAATATCTGCACAACAAATTTAGAGGAAATTCCAAGTAATGTTGCTAAATCTCAGGAGACTGCAATATCCACCACCACCTCTAAATCAATGATTCTAATTCAACATACATATTGAGTATGTGGAAAGATGTTTGTGGCTATGTATCTCAGAACCTATATTAATCATATATTTAATCAGGATATTATAACCATAACATTATCAGAAATAATACTAAGAATGTGACAATATCAGGTATGTTTAAAATGATCCCAAAGGAAACTATGAAATTAATTTCAAAATAAAATGGGTAAAATATATTTCCATGGTAAAACTACCAGGTTATCAAAGGAGCCGGTATATGTTCACTCAGCCTGCACTGGACCACTTATTATAATCAACTTTTCTTCTATACCTGGGATGCACTGCAGGTCTAATATTACAAACACTAAAAACACAACTTATGAATGTAAAG